CTCCGGAGCCTTCAGGGAAGCTCCTGAAGCCTCCGGAGGGCTTCCGGGGGGAGGGGTGTTTTCCATCTCCCCAGGCTCCTATCAAGCCTCTGGAGCTTGGGGAGGGCGAAAAAAGCACACCAAAAATGGGGGGAGTGGTGGTCGTGCCCGTATGCACACTGGGGTTGTGCGCAAAGCATTATGGGTGTGGCACGCCCACACACAACCTCCATGCGCTCCCCCCACTTTTGGCACGTGAGCCAAAAACGGTTCGCCATCACTGGTCTAGTCATTCTCTCTTAGCTCTAGGAAGAAGACAATGACAAACCACTTCCAAAAATGTTGCCAAGAAACTATATGGTCTATTTTGTTACTGGGGCACACCAAAAGTGATATTGTAAAAAACGATTCATATATTTTACTTCAGCACTTTATTTTTTCTCATCAGAAACATCGATATATAAACATCACTGAAGTAATTAACACAATAAATAGTAATTCAGATTTATATTAAACTACATACCTGCTAACTTTAATCCAATCTAATGGTACAGAAGATACAACTGAATTTTTAACTTCAATCTGAAACTGAAACATCAAACAATAAAGTATCAAATGATTAATACTGTTTTAGAACAAAATTGTGTAGTACAGGTAGAAGTTCTTCATAGTTATCATGGATGCATTTGATGATATAATTCTGTCCCAAAAATATTAGTATGTATAAGTGTGTAAGGAAAAGAGTACAGCAATGGAAGGAATAGTCAAGCAACGATAAGATAAATAAGAACATCAGTTCAAATTTCTATTACTATCAGGGATATTAATTTATTTCAGATAAACAATTTGAGTTAAAGAATGGAACTAATCACCAAGCTTATACCAGTTCATAGAGCAATATATACAGGTTTTCAGACTCTCAAACACCAAAGAAGAAATGAAGGCCACTTCAGGTAGATAAACTAAAGCACCAATCCACAAAATACTTCTGAATAGTCTTCCCTACCTATTTGTCTCATATCATCTCCCAAGATTGAGGCACAAATTTAGAATCTGCCAGAAAGCGTTGGTTTGAAAATGAAGCTTTTGTTTAATCAAAATAAATAATATTGCCATTATGGTTATAAAATTTTTCTTAAAATTCATCTTGAAACTGCTTTATGACCTGAACTGTAGAATGGTCTTCTTCAGCATGATAACTCCTTAAACTTAAATTAAGAAGTTTTAAAGTCTTTTAGAATGTCATCATGTCCTACAAAATCATCAATTTTATGGCTAAATTGATCCAGCTCCCTCAGAAGTCTGATGTTTTCTTTTCCATAGGAATCTTTCTTAACATGGATTATCCAAAAGTGGACGCAGTAGTCAAGGTAGTTATATAATACACAAAGGAATGGAATTATTACTTTTCCATTATTTCAGATGGCATGTTTTATGGCAGTATATGACTGTTTTTGTCTTTTCTGCAGTCACATACTATCGCTGATTTATTCAGTTAGTTGTTCAGCTCATCTACAAAAACCATATTGAGTTAGCCTTCCATCCACAGGATAAAATTTATTGAAATATGACTACATAACTCTTAGAATCTTGACTATCACATACTACTTTTGCTTCATCAGATTCATCCAGACTATACCTTAACAAAAGCCAATTTTGTATGACAATAATATAAACAGCAATTGACAATTATGGTAATGCTATCATGGTTTACCAACCTATACTTATATTTTATTTTCAAAGATGAAGAGAATAACTGGTTTTATGCTCAGGGCAAGAAAAACAGAACCTTAAAGTCAAAATCTGGATGAAGCATTACTAAAGTTACTATGTATATACATGCTCATGTGATTCTGTTGGTAAATAGGGTCATAATAATTATGAAGCCATAATTTTCATAGTCATCATATTACACTGTAATCTATAAATTACTGTTATCTATATTTTGAAATCTATATTGGTATTGTTAACAGATGTTTTCCTGAGGTGTTAATTTATTTTCATAATTATTGTCAGAAGACATATGTAGTTCACAATAATTGAATAGAACTGATTTAAATAATGGAGACCATTTTTGGAGTAAAATATGAGATATAACCTGTACCAAATTTCAATAAAGCTCCTATGTCATACTTGTAGACTTGCATTAAGATTTTGATTTGCTTCTGTTTGTTCCTCATAATCTGTACATTTGTAGAGAGATACTGATAAATTGGGATCATAAAATTGACCATCTATTTTCATGCTCAAAAATGCTCATAATTAAATAAAAATCATTTTTTAAACATAAAATTATAATATCAAGATAATGAATTGATATTAACTTCATACTCCTTTGCTCTCATCAATTTCCCTCTCCTTTAGCACAGTAATTAAGANGGCCGGCCGTTTGCTATTTCCAGGCAGGCCAGATTTAAACTCAGATTTGAGTTGGACAATGCTATGTGCATTGTCAGAACTGTTTAAAAAAAATCACGTCATTCTGGAATAAACAAGATTTTTTATATATATTAAAAATCTGAAGTGTTGCATGTAAACAGGAAGCAGCAGCATCAAATGATTTATTTGTATGTATTACTATCCTTTACCTGAATTTATGTACATATATATTTTCTGTCGTTCAAATCTAAACATGGATGGATGATATTACAACATTCTCTGTGATAAAGATCCATGACTAGTCTAAGTGATTTTTCCTCATCTCTGCCATTTCACATGCCTCAAAATCTTCTCTAGAAAGACCCAAAGTCTGGAATATCTTTTAAAGCATGCAGAAAAGAAAGAGCCAACACAGAAATAAATGTGAGACTATGTAATTTTTTGTTTCATTTTCTAAGTGTACAACTTAAGTGTAATGATCTAAAAACCTAGGCATCATAATGGTATATTCTTAATTTTTAGACACAGTCACCGTATTATTTAACAATTTTCTAAAAACTAAAACCAATGTTATGATCTTCTGATTATCCTAGCTCTTAAAAGTTTACTTACTGACAAGAATGTATCATTCGGAACATATTGCTGTTGCTCTCCTAGTAACATATCTATCACAGGATGTTTCCCATTCTTTATCATTATTTCTGATTTTTCATCTATTATGACAGGTCTGAAAAACAAATGTTTATAGACTGAATGTGGAATAAAGGCCCCAAATCATACATTTGCCTTATCGAGCTCGAAACAAGCCATCCCATTGATAATAAAAGAAGCTCCATCAATTCTACCCAATAACAATCTGATCTGGGGGAGAATCTGTAGGTTTTCAAACATGGCATACAAGAATTGATCAGCACTTTTGTAAACAGTATTCCAGTACTGGTTTTTTTTTTTTTTTAATGATTACCTGCAATAATCTCCTTGTTTGGCAGCCTCAGCCAAAGAAAAAACACAGTCCACAGTTGCTAGATGACCCACAGCTTGAGAGAGTGCATGATAATGCTCATTAAAATGACTAGAGAAAAGTACATTGGGAAGGAAAAAAGAATGAATGAAATATTAATACAAATAAACTATAACCAGTCAGCAATGCTATATCCATACAAAATTCCTTACATACGTTGTCTGTTTTCAATACGTAGTCCAAGTGTACATCTAGTTACACACACAAATGTAAAAAAATATGATTGGTTTGATTGTTTATGATGCAGTACTGGGAGATGATACAAAGAAGTTGGGAAATTCTGAAAGGGGAATGTAACACTTTCAAAGGGATTTGTTGTCTGTCAAAAGCTGCCTGGGTACAGCAATGTGATGAGAAGGAAGAGATAAGTGATCCATCACGAATGAGTACTATGAAAATAATAGTAAAACTGTCAATACAGATAGTTCTTTACTTATGGCAATAACTGAGACTTAATCTTCAGTAACTAATGACTGGCTACAGTCATTAAACAATCACCAAGGTTGTTAAGGGGATGGGAGAAAGAGCTGCCTGTACTCGTCCTCATACTAGGATGAATCCCTCTGGTGGGCAGCCCTTTTACTTTCAAAAAGCTGCCTGCCAGAGGCATCTTGCGCCATGCCAGGCCGAATCCCTCTGGTCGACAACCTTGTTGCCCTCAAAGAAGCTGACTGAAAAAGGTCTTCACTGAAATACAGACAGGATTTGGGGACAGTGATTACAGATGGGATGGTTGCAGCCAGCCCCCAAAGACAACAGAACTCCCTCTCATTGCTGAAGGCTTGCAAAAATGCCGTGTTACATATGCTCCGTGCTAAGTTTTTTCATGGTCTTCTGACCCAGCTCCATAAAACAGGAGAAACCCTCTGAAGTTAAATCAATGATTCCTTTATTAGGAGTGCTGGCAGCCCCAGCAAAAAGTTTCTTTCACCGCAGGCTAACAAGTCTGTCCAGTAGGGAGATGAATAGTTGTCTGCCACATCTATTCATTTCCGCCCCCTGCCTTTTATCCTTAGAGCTAGGGTGGGGCTTCGCTACCAGCGGTGGTCTTCCTTCCCAAATGTCTGCTCACGATTTCCACTACTATCCTATCTCTCCTCTGCCTTCTGCACATCCGTGCATCAGGCACTGGACCAGCTATTCCTTCTCTTCCCCATCAGTCACCTCCAGACCTGAGGGCTGTTGACTCTCCATCTGAGAGCTGGTGGACAGCCTAAGCTCCATCTCTGTCTCTCTCTCTGCCAGCTCTATTCCCTCTTCCCCCTCAGAGCTCTAAGGCTACCTTGATGTTGACCCTGACTCCCATGCCTCCTCATCTGATTCAGCTGCTGGAGGGGGCGGAGGCACAGGGCACAAAACATGGATTTGGTAATGGGCCCTTTTGGCCAAAACCAGAAATCAGAGGAAGTCATGTCAGCAACCAGTAGCAGCTTGTGCACTTCCCAAAATGGCTGCAAGGATGAGCATCACAAGAGAGAAAATTTCTCAAAAGATGAACTTAGCCCATATTAATGCTTTCTGTTAATTAATGGCCCCTAGGGCCAAAACATGGTGCAAATAAATATGATGTAATCTATCATTTCTTTGTTTTGCACAAAGCTACTTTTCTGTGTATGTTGTAAATTTAAGAAAGTA